AGGATTTTAGAGGAAGTCAGCAGCCAACTAAGGTAAATATCTTCACCAGCTTCCAATATTATAGTGTTTGAAATTGGCTAGGATTAGAGATATCTTCACGAGTTTTTTCGCTTGGTTTTCTCTGGTCAGTTATGTATTCTTTTTCCTAACATCTCTTTTTCTTTCCATGTAATACATCTATTAACTTCTCTTGTCCTCCTCATTTTCTTATTTATCATTCAGCTTTTCATTTATTTTTCAGAATTATATCAGATATGAAACACGTCAAAAGCGTGCTGACTCAAAAAAAGCTTTGAAAAATCTTCTCTTTTATGGGGCATCTGGAAACTCTTTTGAGGTATATATTTAATCTTCTTTCATTTCATAGATATGGTAAATCTTAGTCTTAGTTATATTAGGTCAACTGTCTTTGATAAGGGATTTCTTTCTCTTTATGGAGTGACATAAATTGTTTTCATTTAAAATAATTTCTTTGGATTAGTTTGTTTCCTGAATTAGTTTCCGGTGTTTGGTTGGACATAAGGTAGGTGACCTGAGGCAACAATAGAAGTGGTACAGGGTGTCATTCCAGTAATCATTTTGAGTATGGAAGGTTGATAATAGTATTTACTTGGTAGTTGAAGACTTGAAGTGATATGAAGTACAAGTTGAAATACTTGCAAAAGGGACGACTTACACATTCATTTGCCCTTTTAGCATGTGAAAATAACCAAACGCTACATTTATCAAGGGAATCATCTTCCAAAACGACATGAATACATCCTAGATCGCTATTGCTGACCTCAATCATTGAACGCAAGGTCATTTTGTATCTTGGAAAACTGAAAATCAGTTCTGCTATTTTTTCTGTTTATGGTCCTTCCCAATAGGAGTTCCTATGTTCTCCATCTTTTACCAAAATCAGGCTAATAGATAGTATTTTATTGATAGATTACATTTGTGATATCATTAGCTTATCACCAAGATTGCATTCACATATGTATCGGTGTCTAAAAGAAACAATTATTATTTACCACCTACAGTGGAATGCGAGGAACCAGTTTCCCCAAAAAGTGGATTAAAGCAAATAGCCAACTGCAATAATCAACTAAAGAAAGAAAGTTCTTCCAAGAAGATATGTCATCATCATATAAGGAAGAAATATCATAAAGAAAGTTCTTCCAAGAAGATATGTCATCATTATATAAGGAAGAAATATCTTTGCACCAAATGAAGTGTTGTTGGATCAACTATGTGAATCCTGATTATTCATTTCTTACCATTTGGATTGATTTCTTCCCAATACTCAATAACTTAGAGGTTCACCAACACTATAGGTCTAAACTAGACTAAAAAGACTCCTAGCCAACATTGAACCTAATGTAGGCACACCATCATGACTAAGCCTTAATCTCTTGGTATGCCCTACTTCTTTCCAGTAAATACTCCAAACATGAGCGAAAAACAATTTATAGAAAAGGTTCCTTTTCCTTTGCAACATTGGCTCCAGCCATCAAACATCCGGTCGCTAGTAAAAGTGTCACCGGTGCCATTCCGCAACTGTCAAAAGAAAGCTCCAGCAAGAAGCATCTCAACCCTGTCACATTCTCTTTACAAGAATTTCCATGAAATACTAACGTAGTTCCCAAAGAACTGAGAGAGAAGTTCGAGACCTATTCTTATGTGTTATTTTTGTTTCTTCTCTTCTCTTCTTCTAGAACATATCCGCTTCCTCACCCCACCCCAACCAAAGAAAAAACTATTTTATGTCTGCTTCCGAATATGACGCTTGATCTGTTCATGTAACCTAAAAACCTGTCCTAATCAACCACAAAAACTTCTGTCTTTTCAATGAATCTCACTTGTCCTCTGTTTGCTTTTGAAGTGAATTGAGGAATCCTAGGAGGATGAAAGGCGGATCTATGAGGGAACAACTCATTTTGCAATTGTAGCATTAAGTCACATAATGATCAAAGGTATCAAGGTGTAATGAGGATAGACCAAGTTCACTAGTTCAGTGTAGTAAGACGAATCTCCTCGTATATAGAAGGAAAAGATGGAGTAACAGAAGCAGTGATGAAATTTTCACTTATACCTCATCCTATGTATAGTTTGTCTTTGATCTTTACTGCTTTGCCTTTCTTCGCCCTTGCATCTTGACTCTGTTTGTGGGTTTCTGCTTTCTAAGGAAGTTATGGTCTACTGTAGTGTGCTTGCTTAACTTCCTCTGTGGTCCAAGCCTCCAAAGCATGAACCACCTTTTCTGGTTTAAAGTCCGCATAGTATAATGTGTTCAGCTTCTGAACTTTAGTATCTGATCAATTGCATGCAAATACTCTTTTTATATTAAATTCTCTTCTCATTTCACTATTTTTACCTCAATATTTGTTCTACTCATGGACAATGTGCTATTTTCTTGTTGAATAATTTACTAGAATGAATCTTCAACAATAAATGATAGATGGGATATGGATCGGGATGATCGTTCAGAGAAGAAAAGTGAATATAAGTCCGCTGCTCGTCTTAGAGATCGCTCAAGGAGAAGGATGCGTGAGTTTGTACTCTCATTTCACAATTGGATCTCTGTTTTTAATGAAAATTCTTATATCAAACTGAAAAATATCAGTGTGTTCAACCTTTTGGCCCCATTCTTGAGATTCTTAAATACCAGATATGACTGAAATATATATTGCTATTGAAATTTGGTGCTTTGACGCTGGGATAGTTTCGAAAGCTCCTTTACTGCCCACCTACTAGCTGGACTAGTGGGTTACCTATCAGGAAACATGCCGAAACCAATGCCTTTTCAGATTGATCCCAATGCTTGTCTTCCAAATAAAAAAGGTTTATTGGCCGTGAGTTGGTTGCTGTCATTCTAAGTAAAATGGGATGAACTTGCGTTGCTTTGCATTTTTTCCATCTAGGAGTTGTATTGCAAGGATTTGAACACTTGAATTAATGCGTCTTTAAAGAACGGAAATTGGACTTTTTATGTTTGTCACAAAGTTATGTATGTCATAACTTTAGATAACCTTCTGTTATGCTTTCTGATTGCTAATCTATCTTTACATGGTTGATGGTGACGCAATACTGAGCTTATTGAAGGATGTAGGTAGCCTTCATTGACCGTTAATTATTCGTTTTTAGGAAAAATGAAGAAACGGAGATTATATGAAGAATTCGATGAATATCCTGAATCAGTATTCGAAGCAACTTTTGGTGATAAGTGGTACACTTGGTCTTTTAGGCCTGGTAAATCATCTACTTTTGAAGATATGTTCTCCCGAAGACAAGAAACAGACTGGTCAGAACAAAGGCATTACAGATGGGATAATGAAACTGAAAACGAGACACATACAGAATCCAAATATGAATCGTGTCATATAGGTTCTTCCTCAGAAAGAACAATTCTCGGTTTGCCCCCAAGAGGTCCTCTGAAGATTGAGGATGTCAAGAATGCGTAAGTTCTAGTAGTTTTGTGCTCTCCATACTCGATTATATTGAAGACTAATGTAAACACTATTATTGTCCTTGTAGTTTCCGCTTATCAGCATTAAAGTGGCATCCTGATAAACATCAAGGCCCTTCACAGGTTAGCTTTACACTTTCTGTTTGTCCTCCTACGTGACAACTTACAATAGCCTATCTGGTTCCTTTCTTGAAACCTTGTTTTGGAATTTAGCTACTCATTCGTATTCTTGGAGTCCTCCTCACGAGACGAGTCATTGAATTTGTGCAGGCAGCAGCAGAAGAGAAATTCAAAACTTGTGTCACTGCATACAAGTCATTGTGCAACGCGTTCTCCCCAGCTTAACCTTTATCTGACGTATCTATGGCTTCTTTTCTTGGGAGTTTCAGAAGCCAACATCACCATTCTTAGTATAATAGCTAGCTAGCTAGCTGAGTGTTATGTGTTCTAATTTAGCTCTTGCAATAATGGGGGCTCTTTCTTTCCCAGCAGAGTCGTCATGAAAATGTATTTAATAAAATTTTGGAGTCTTGTATACAACCAAACATCCATGCATAACATACCCTAGTTGCTTGGTTTCTGAAAATAGGATGTTATCATACCTGTATTATCGCATCGAATTTCATCAGAATTTTGAAGTTATAAGTGTACTACATAGTCATAACTATCGTGGAAATTATACATTGACTATACATAATAATGGTTTTTTTTAAAAGATATAATATTTTTCTCGATAGGTGATTGTACTTTAATAATTGTGAAGCTCATAGATTGGCTTGGCAGTAATAATGATTTGTGTCCTTTTTATGATAGCAATTTCAAAACTATTATTACGTGACTTTGTACCACTAGAATTCAAACTTAAAATTTGAATTAAAAAATTACTGTTGACTAACATTTTTACCACCTCCTGATTGTTTTTTGTACATGCTACTAACCTATTGTTTTTTATACTATAGTTTTATAAAAAAAAAAATTATCAAGATATATTCAAAGGCATTTAATAGGTTTAACAATATGGTAGAAATGGAACAAATGGAGAAGTGTTAATCTGTCATGTGGCAGCTTTCTCATTATTGGTGAGCTACTGTGTTTAATTCATTTCATTTTCGTTTTCCATTTAACTCTATTAAAACAAACATACCTAAAAAGAATATACACATTTATTAAACATTCAAAACCATTAAAACAAGAATAATAACTCATAATAGTATTCATTTCAATGAACACTCATATTTAAAATAAATAAAGTTTTAGATTTCAAAAAGTACAATTTTAACTCATTTTAGAAAATCAAACGCATACACATATACCAAAATTCTCACCCTTTTTTCCCTCTTATATTTGGATTTAAATTTTCAAACTATTTAAAAAATATCAGACTAATATAATAATAAATACTTCATTTGATTGTTTTTTTAGTTCGTTCAAATAATAATGTTTTTTATTATGTTTTAAAATTAAAAATGGAACGATTCATAACCAATCACACAAGTTGTTAAGATTATTATGTATCATGAATATCAAATCTTTCTTTTTTTTATAAATTTTATTTCAAGTCAAATAACATTACGTCAACAACAGATGACACGAGATGAATAATATACAATTCTCACAAATAAGAATTGATAAATACGGATTCGAGCCCTCTTGTATATAAAGTCATCTTTTTTGTCATTAATTTAAATTTGGTCGAACTCCATCCCCGAATACAAATTTCTTTCCTAATATGATATTTTTAAAAAGAAAATCTAGAAGCACTAACCTACAAAACAAAAATGTACATATCAACAATTTTAAATAAACAAAACTACCAAAAAAAATAAAAAAAAATCACAACCCATAATTCATCCAAATATTTTTAAAAATTACAACAAATATTTTCCATCAAAATTCCCAAAATTGCCCCTCCTCCACCCACCCAAAACCCTAACCAAAGTTCATTTCTTTTGAAGATCTCAAAAACAGAGTATTACAACAGAGGAAGAAACCATAAATCCATAAATAAAAATCAAAAACCCAAAATGCAGTGCCCAATTTCTCTTAAACTTACCAAAATAACTCTCTGGTGGTTCTTGATAATGTATTTCAAATTCATCCCCAATTTCTTCAACCCCACCATTGTTAATCCTCATCTTCAGTTGCCTTAACCTTTCTGTAGCTAACCCTAATGTTAATTTATGACATCTCCGTTGATACTTAAACCCATTGATGCATCTCAATGTTTGGGCTACAGATACGTAGAAAATCAGATGGGATAACGAGAGAAGACCAATGGGTATCCAACAATGTCGGCATTGAAGCTTCGGAGAAAGAGCTTGACCCAGGAAGATGAGTGATAAAAAGATGAAGAAATGTTGAAACATTTTCCATAGTTCCTTTTTTTGTAAATCGATTGCTCGTTTTTTCTCGAGAGTTTTTTCGAAATGGAGCTGGATTATTGTGTTGATTGCTTGTAGAGCGGTCTCTTTTTGGATCAGATTGTTTGGGTGGTGATGGGTTGGGGCGGCATCGTAATCCGCCATTGGAGAAAGCTTGAGAAAAAAAACAGAGAGAAGTTTTGGAGTTTAATGGTGACACTCAGTGTGACTGTCAACATGTGGGCGATGATAGTTGGAAGGTTAGAATATCAAGGTGACAGTAGAGTTTGATCACAGCTCGATTTATTTTTATTTGTCATGTTTTATTTTACACCTAAAAAGAAAAAGAAAATAATGATATTTCTATTTTTATTTTATTATCTCTTCGATATTAAATTTAAATCACACGCAATAATATTTATTTAAAAACAACACTTATATATAATTTTTTTATATATTCAAATTCGAAATAAAATATTTTTATTAAGAATGAAACAATTTCATCACGTACGATGACCGACTCATACAGTGCTTATTAACGCTTAACGGCATAGAAACGTGATGGGGTGGGGTCAATGTTGGATTGTATATGGATTAGTATGAGATTAATTAATTATACTCCTGTCTTGTCTTAAAATGTTTGTGGGGTTTTTAATATTGTCTTTAACATATTAGGTAATAATTTATTTATTTTATTTATGCCATAATTATGATATTTAAAATGACGAGTATTTGCAAGGACAAGCTAATAAGCATTTTAATTATATCAATATGGTGTTCGATTTATAATTTAGAAATTCACGTAACAAATATATTTATAAGTAATGAAAAAATGTATTATATTACCGATTGTATATTGGACTTGATGCAACAAATGGCCGTTTGTTGAAGTGCTTGTTGGGTTAGCCTTTGAGTTTTGGGTCTGATGATGTGTTTCATGTACCCACTTTAATATGGTTGAGCCCAACTATTATTACTGTTCCCAAATTATTCTTTCGTATATTTATTTCTTAATGAAGTGCTGACTCGCATCTGGGGTCTTGGAAGGTACCACCGAAACTCAAAGGTAAATTATATAGAGTGGTCATTAGACTGACTTTGTCTAGCAGATGTATATTGCGGATATGAGAATATTAAGATAGATGTATGGTTACACTAGAAGTGATAATATAATATTAGAAATGTGGATATTCGTGATAAGATAGGAATAACTTTCGTAATGGACAAAACAAAGAAAGTAAGACTGAGATGGTAAAATAGGCCTAAGAAGTATCAAAGACACAAAATATGACCAAAATTGAGGTTACCGAACACTTAAGTAGGAGGATATGAAAGACACGTATTAGGATAGTAGATAGTGTATGTAGTGTTGTTTTAGCTAAAGGGGTTGATATTTGTCATTATCATTATATATAATAGTATTATTGTAGTGTTTGTGTTGATCTAATTATTGTACTATTTTGTTGTTATATGCTATGTTTTGGGTATTGTATTAGGCTTCCGTGTATTGTTACTTTGATATATATCGCAGTTGAGTCAATGATCTGTAAAAAGAATATTTTTACCTCTATAAAATAATGATAAAATTTACATATATTCTATTCCGTACTTATAAAATTCTTCGATACACTCTTATTCCAAAGAAAAACAAAATGAGAAACGCATGGGATGGACGATAGGGAGTGAGGGGACGGCAGCATGGGGTCCAAACAGTCCCTGAAATATTTTTCTCCTTTTTAAAAAAGAAAATAATAATTTTCATAATTTGTAGCAAAAAAATCATGAAAGAATTATATTGAAAACAGTAAATTATTTATTATTATCAACTAGTGAATTTATATAGAATTATGTGGCATTGAATATTGTCATAATAATAATTTATTTACAACTTAAAAACATTGAATTACGTATAAAACCACAATTTTGCTTCAAATCAGAATTTTAAACCAAATCCAAATACATACCAAATATAGTTAGCCAAATAAAAAAGTTATCTTCAAAACTGTTAATAACTAGTGTTAAATTCAAAAGTGTTTTCAATATTTCTCTCGAAACAGTAACAAAGACCCTTTTGTGAAAATTATTCTAGTTAAAGTACACAACTTTTTCACTCTTACTCATAAATCCCTTCAACAACAAAAAATAAAAATCGACAAACATGTAAAAGTATATTCTAAATTCATACAAACACAATCAACTATTTTGAACTATTACACACATGTACTTATGGAGGATATGGTTGAGAAACCAAAGCCTCAAAAGAAGAAAATGTATACTATATGCTACATATATAATCTTCAAAAAAAGAAATATCAAAATCACACCAAAGCTAAAACTATTCCCTATGACACTATTTAACTACTAACAACAAATGATTAAATATACCTAACTAGAAAAAAAGAAAATATGCCACTTTCTTTGTGTGTGCATTTATAGTAAAACTAACTTTGTGAATGAAAAAGTTCCTCCCTCACACATAATCCCACATTTCCAAAGCACATAATTGATTTTGTCCCACTTGTCAAAAATGGTACACTAACCACAAAGTAAAATAGAAAAACCTTCTTGTCCATCAATCTATTATTTGCATTACTTTGTTCTTGAACAAACTTTTGTTCAACATTCTGTTCTTTCTAATGCTTGTTGTTGCTGTTGTTGGTTGATTATTTGCATTAGTATCTCTCCGGCCTTCATATTCGAACCCGGAGTTTCCATAATGGGCAATTGTTTCTTGGACTTGTTTTGATAGATGGAATCCAATTGATGAAAATATGGACATGTTTTTGAATCTTCTGGCCTTTTCTTTTGGCTTTCTTTAACTCTTCTATAGTACTTGTTTATGTTCTCCCATTTCTCTTTACATCTCTTCGCGTTTCTATCGTATCCAAGCTTCTTCATACCACATGAGATGTCTTCCCAAAGAGGCCCTTTTGATGAGCCGTTGTCTTGGTATTGCAAGTCGACGTTTGTTCTTAGCTTGATTAAGGCTTCCACTTCGGCTTTAGGCCATCGAGAAGATGAATTCGTTTGAAACGAGTTTGAATTCTCACCAGCACTATCAATCTCTTGTTTGTCAATGTTTTCCTTGTCGTTGTCTTGTTGCATAACAACATTCTCCTGATTTCCAATAGTTTTCATTGATTCACTCTCTCGTTCCTCGGTATGCCTATGGGGTAAATCTGTTGGTAACTGTAGTTGAATGGTTTGATCTGAGACTTTCTGCAAGAAAGCAATCACTGCTGCGTCTTTCGCGGCAGAAATTGCTCTTTCGTGAGCTAATGCTTCTTGTTCTTTCTTTAATCTCGCGATTTCCTGCATCTTCCAAGCCTCGTCCCTCGCTATTCGATCCTTCTCACATTTTTCCATTGCTTCTAGAAACTTGTTTTGCAAGTCCTCTTGCTTATCCAACACTTCCTTCATCAACCTCTCAAAATAACTAGCCAATTTCCTTTTCTTCTTCACACTACCATCGGATTCTTTCCCCGAGGACGAGGTCGTGGACGTGGATGTGGACATGAACCCCGGATTAAAACCCCGAACTCGACTATGATCCATTCCAAAATCCTGACATCCACTAGCAGCTGGTTTTATCATTGTCATTGGCATAGGCATTGGTACAGGCATTGTTTCCATTCTATTGATTTGGCTATGGTTTAATGGAGGCGATGAAAACAAGGATTGGCTATCTAAAAGCTCTAATTGCTCGAAAAATCGATAGTTTTTCCCAGTTTGTCTACCAGATCTACCATCTTTAGTTCTCTTATGATACTTATAAATGTTCTCAAACTTCTCCCTGCATTTCTTCGCATTTCGATTATACCCAAGCTCAGCCATCTTCCTGTTACAACAAACAACAACAAAATTCCATCCTCCTAACTTCAAATTTTCACTAAAATCAACCAAAATCACAGCTAAAATTTGACTAATTCATATGAAATTGAAAATTGCATGCTCAGACAAAATTATTGCAAAAAAAAATTACCTAGAAATTTCATCCCAGAGAGGGCTTTTGAGATTGGAATCACGAAATGCAACATCCATTTCCGATCTTATTTTGAGTAAAGCCAAAGTTTCTTCATGTGGCCAACGATTTCCACCTGAAAAATTCTTATCTTCTTCCTCTGAACCTCCACCGACACTTCCACCACCACCACCACCTTCATTCTTCAGCTCCGACGCTTCACCATCGGCGCCGGTGACGGCGCCACCAGCAGCTGTATTCTCCAACAAAACAGAACTTTCTAGCATTTTTTTTTCTTCTTACAAAGAAAATTTCTTTTGGACTTTATTAGTAGTAAAAATAATTGAGTAGAAGGCACTTATTATCCTTTTTTTTTCTCTTCGAAAAAATTGGATATTTTTAAATTCAACCCCCAACTATTTTATTTTATTTTTATTTAAGGGGGTCAAGAAATATTGAATGGGGAAGTGAATTAAAATTTATTATTTTCCAACCACTTTTTAAATAGGCAAAGGGATTTGAAAGAATTGAATTGAAGTGGGACATGTTAATAAATAAATTTTACAAGTTGTCAAATTGGTGAAAACATGTGTAATTTGAATTTTATTTTTATTTTTTTGACTTTTTATATTCATTTTATTGTGTTTGAATAAAAATAAAATAAAATGAGTAGTCAACTTTGCTTTGGTGGAGTCCAAAATTACAGCTTGGATACACCATGTTTGGAATAATGTGAAAAGATTGGGGTCAACAATGGATGGTAAAGAGAACAATCGAGATTTTTAATTGCTTCAAATTATGAAGAAAATAAAAATTGATCCATCTTTAAGAGTTTTATTCAAAAAAAAGTAAAATTAGTTGATGCGGTGATATTTCATTTTATGATTAAATTAAATTAAAATATATAATATTCTTTATAAAATGATTTCATTTCTCTTTTAATTTATTTATATACTACTAGAAACTAGAAATAAGAATCTAATATTTTTTTTTTTAAAAAAAAGTTAAGAGATGAGTCATGGTTATGAATTTGTCCATTTGAGGAGATAGCAACAAGTGGAAGATAAAGATGAAGTAAAATTTGAAATAGTAACATCTAAAAATATCTTCATTTTCCAACTTGGGATTTTGTAAGTTTGTGCCTTAAAAGCTACTGATAAAATTTTATTTTTATTTTTAAAAAGAAAGTCGGCCATACATATATTTGGCTTTTCAACATTTTCTTCTTTTCTTTTCATACTAAAAGTTTTTTTATGGGTGAAATTGTGGAATTACTTTTTCCTTGTGTCAACAAGAGTTTTAAAAAAAGAAGAAAAATATATCGTTCCTTCAATTAGTTCATTAAAATATAATTCGAACATATTATTATATAATATTTATATTTTATATATTAAATAA